GTGGAATTTGTAAATCATTTTTAAAAAGTCGTTTTCTGATTGCACTGAAATAGAAATGATTCACCTTTTTTCCTCCTCTCCCCATGATCCTTCTCTTGTTCATCCACTGGGGCTATAGAGTTTGTGGCTATAATCTGCTGATCTCATGTGTCCATGTTTTTCTCATGCTGGTGTGCAGTGTTTTGCCTCTAATGCATGACACCCTCCTCATTCCCTAAGCAGACAAGTCATTACCAGTCTGGGACTATTAATATTTCGTTATCAAACTCTGACCAGTTCCAAATGCATCTATGCCCCCACAGCAGTGGTACCATAATTCTTATCCATGAATTTTTCTCGGCACCTGTCATCATCAAAAGTAAGACCAAAATTTAAATATAAACAGCAAACAACATTCATTTCTGATGGCTGCAATGGTTGATCGCATGCAATGTTTTCCTGTTGGATGGACATAAATATGCACCAGATGGAAAGACACCGTGTGGTCCTTTGATACTGAGTGAATATGGGATGACATTACGAAAATGAAAATTTAGGCTGAATATCAGAGAATCTATTAGCGGCTAATCTGGCATGTCTCGCACCCCCAAAAAGGGCATCTCGCACCCCCAGGGGGTGCGTGCACCCTAGGTTAAGAACCACTGTATTAGCCTATGGAACAATGATGGAAACCTGATCCCTTGGCACATTTTAAAATAGACTGGATGAAACACGAGACTCTGTGCTGTAGGGAACAATTCTGCACTGACAGGCATGACCTAACAGGCCTTTTCCGTTTGTGAAATCTATGATTCACCTCCTTTTTAGGGACTGGTGCAATAAAACCTTAGATTTCACTCAGGAGATACTCAAGTGATTCATAGTTAAAACAGAGGCAGACTGAATTTGTTATCATTGGACAGTAGTCACTGTTACTAGTGACTAGACCTGGCTGTAATTTTTCAGTTGAATTTTTTTTTCCAACCAAAAAGGACAGTGCTGGTGAAATGTGTCCTGAAAATGGTTCAATTTCCACTAAATTGTCAATGAAAAAAATTCACACAAAAAATTGTCATTTGGCTTCATTTCTAACTGAAGTTTTCGTTTCACTTTGATTTTTGAAAACCAAGACAAAATGTAAATCTAAAATCTGAAATGTACCAAACATTTGTTTTGATTTTTTTTTTTTGGTCAAAAACTCGACATTTTCCTACGAGCCATTTAAAGACAAGGTCTTTGTATTGGACATTTTTGCTGAAATAAAATGAGATTTTTCAACCAGCTCTTCTGTGCCATGCAATAGTCTATTACTGGTGAAGAATGGATGTCAGACCCTTTCTGCACGATTGCCTTCAGTTCATCACTCATCAGCACACAGCACTATCAAACAGAGAAGGTGCAGAGAAGGGCTACTGTGATGATCACAGGAACGGAGAGCCTGCCCTAGGAGAGGAGACTTAAGGGGCTTGGTTTTTTCTGGCTAAACAAGCCAAAGGCTGAAGGAAGATATGATTGCTCTCTATAAATAAATCAAAGGGATAAACACCAGTGAGGGAGAAGAGTTATTAAAGGGCCACTGTCGGCTCAAGAACAAATGGATATAATCTGGCCATCAATAAGTTCAGGCTTGACATTAGACAAAGGTTTCTAACCATCAGAGGAGTGAACTTCTGCAACAGCCTTCCAAGGGGAGTCGGGGGGAAACAAAACCTAACTTGTTTTAAAGCTCAGCTTGATAAGTTTGAGAGGTGGTATGATGAGATTGTCTGCAATGGCATATGGCCCACCTGTGATTGCGATTAGCAAATATCTCCAACGGCTGGAGATGGGAAACTAGATGGGAGATCTCTGAGTTACTACAGGTTTCAGAGTAGCAGCCGTGTTAGTCTGTATCCGCAAAAAGAACAGGAGTACTTGTGGCACCTTAGAGACTAACAAATTTATTAGAGCATAAGCTTTCGTGGGCTACAAATTTATGCTTATGCTCTAATAAATTTGTTAGTCTCTAAGGTGCCACGAGTACTCCTGTTCTTTTTGAGTTACTACAGAAAATTCTCTCTCAGGTGTCTAGCTGGTGAGTCTTGCCCACATGCTGAGGGTCTAACTGACTGCTGTATTTGGGGTCAGGAAGAAATTTTACCCCAGGTCAGATTGGCAGGGAACCTGGGATTTTTTGCTTTCCTTTGCAGCATGGGGCATGGGTCACTTGCTGGTTTGAATTACAATAAATGGTGGATTCTCTGTAACTTGAAGTCTTTAAATCAAGATTTGAGGACTTCAGTAAGTCAGCCAGAGGTTATGGGTCTACTACAGGAGTGGCAAGCTGAAGAAGACTATTGCTATTAGCAATCTATCTACAAAAGAGATAGCATCACCTCCCCCTTCCTCAGTATGCAGTGGTCCGCAGTATTTCCACTAGAGCTTGAGAATTCTTCCTCACCAGCACCTCACATGCATTCCCCTACTTTAACCTTCTCACCTTCAGTTTCTCACAGTGCAGCCAGCATCTTTCTAGCCAGGGGAGTGATTAGGAGAGTCCATGTCACTCCTTCCATTAACCACTGGAGCGGGAAAGTTGCTTTCGAGCAACACTCACTCCTACATATAGCAGTCCTGCCTCTGAGCCCCTACTGGCTCCAGCCCCGGAGCACCCATGGAGTCGGCGCCTATTGAACAGGGTGTTGGATCCCTGCCCACGCTGGCTAATAGCCATTGCTGTACCTATCCTCCATGTACTTATCTAGTTCTTATTGGAACCCTGTTATAGTTTTGACCTTCACAACAACCCCTGGAAGAGAGTTCCACAGGTTGACTGTGAAGAAATACTCTTTTTTTGTTTTAAATCTGCTGCCTATTCATTTCATTGGGTGACCTCTAGTTCTTGTGTTATGTGAAGGAATAAATAACATTTCCTTATTCAATTTTTCCACACCATTCATGATTTTATAGACCTCTATCATATGCCCCCTTAGTCATCTCTTTTCCAAGCTGAAAAATCCCAGTCTTTTTAATTTCTCCTCATACAGAATGTGTTCATACCCTTAATTATTTCTGTTGCGCTTCTCCGTACCTTTTCCAAATCCAATATATCTTTTCTGAGATGTGGTGACCAAATCTGCACGAACTATTCAATATGTCGGTGTACCGTGGATTTATATAGAGGCAATATGATATTTTTCTCTTATTATCTATCCCTCACCTAATGATTCCCAATATTCTGTTAGGTTTTTTAATTGCCACTGCACATTGAGCAGATGTTTTCAGAAAACTATCCACAATGACTCCAAGAGCTCTTTATTGACGGGTCAGCTAATTTAGACTCCATCATTTTGTATGTATTGTTGGGATTATATTTTGCCAAGTGCATTATTTTGCATTTATCCACATTGAATTTCTTCTGCCATTGTGTTGCCTAGTCACCCAGTTTTGTGAGTTCCCTTTGTAGTCTTCGCAGTCTGCTTTGGACTTAACTATCTTGAGTAATTTTGTATCATCTGCAGATTTTACCACCTGACTGCATACCCTGTTTTCCAGATCAGTTATGAATATGTTGAATATGTACCTCTCTCCATTCTCACCTTTTATTCCTACCCTTTGTTTCCTATCTTTTAACTGAAGTGCCTGGCAGTGCTTTCAGGATAATCTAAGAATCCTTAATTTACTTTAATGATAAGCCTTTTGCTATCTTAATCACCCTGCCTCTGTTTATAAACAAACTCCCAGCCCAAAGGCTGTGCTACTCCCAGCTTCCAAACTCATCACATATCACACGCAAGTTGTTGCAGTTAAGAGCTCCATCTGGGGCTAGGATGAGTAGACCTCCCCTATGAAACTCGGGAGGGAGGGGACTAGAACCCTTCCTTGCCCCCTTTAAAGGGGGCAGCATTCCATTCCAGGAGTGGAATTTAGGTCTTTTATGTGCAATGCAGAGCAGTGAGATGGTTGGCTGGTTCACAGAGAAGATTCCACTAATGTTTTTTAAAGGGCCTTTTCAAGGCATATTTTGTCAATTAAACATTGTTTTTCACCCACTGCTTGTAAGAGCCCCCTTGAAGCAAAAAGCTAAGTTCTGTTTGCCCAGATTTTGTGACCTGGACGCATGCCACAGCAGCGATGGGATCAATTGGCCAGCATGCCTGTTTCAGTAAAAACAACATTGTGGGCACCTTAGAGACTAACAAATTTATTTGGGCATAAGCTTTCATGGGCTAGAACCCACTTAATCAGATGAATGGAGTGGAAACTACAGGAGCAGGTAAAGATACATGAAAGGATGGGAGTTGCCTTACCGAGTGTGAGGTCAGTCTTATGCCCAAATAAATTTGTTAGTCACTAAGGTGCCACAAGGACTCCTCATTGTTTTTGCTGATACAGACTAACTGAAACCTGTTTCAGTAAGGAGCAGCATGGTGGCCTCTGCTGGTGAATGTGTGCATAGACAAAAGGCTGAAATTCAGCCCTGGGAAAGAAACTGCAGGTTAGCAAATATAAATGAGGCTCCATCCTACTGCTTACTGCCCCGTAAAAAACCCTAAAATATCCCAAACCGCTCACGACAGGCCTCAGATACACCAGCGCCAGCAAGAACAATGCCCCAGTGTAACCAGCTGCACCTGTTACAGCCAGCAAGAACAAAAGCTAATGGCCACTTACTCCAGAAGAAACAAGGAATGTGTAATGCAGCGTGCTTAGAATAAGGCACTCGGCTAAGCCCTCTCCTACTACCCCAATACTCTGCTGTTATTTTTGAATCTTCCTGCCCCTTTTGGAATAGTTTGCTGAGATCCAAGCACTAAAATCAAAGCACTGCTGCTGGCAAGAGCACACAGGAACTGGAGTGCTAGATCATTACTGCAGCACCATACATGTAGGGCCAGATTATCAGCTAAATTGGCATAGCTCCTCGAGTCAAAGGAGCTACCACAGATTGACACCAACTGAGAAACTGGCCCATAATTTATATCTCTATATCTCTATATATGTAAATACACACACACACACACACACACACACACACACACACACACACACACACACAGGAAATAACTCTAGTATCCTGTGTATATTATGTCTATATGAGGGCTTTGCATCATATTTGTGCGCAGCTATAACCAACACAGACTTAGTTCTTAAAAAAATTATTACTGGAAAATAACATTGGACATGATTTATCTTGGATCCTAAGTGTGAATGACCAGATATACCGTAGGGCTTGCCATTCTTACCCTATTCTCAGCACAAACATACTCGAGATACTGCAAGAAAAGCAGCTTTGCAGTGTTGTGCATTATAAACTGACAGCGACTTGATCTTTCTGTGCCATTTAGAGGAGAGAGCAGCAGAGAGGCTGCGTGGCTGGCAGGAAAAGAGAGAACTGAGCAGAAAAGAGACGTGAAAGAGAGAGCGGTTGACATTAAATTAACTACTAGATATTAAGGACCGGATTCTGATTTCACTTACCCTGATATAATTCCACTGATTTCTGTGGAGTTACTCCTGATTTACACCAATGGGAAATCAGAATCAGGCCCAATGTAAGGCATACCTACAAACTAGAATCTATGAGAAGACAGAGTCCCTGGTCCCTGGCACTCAAATCCTGGGAGGTGCTGAGCATCTGAAACTCCTGCTGAAGTCAGTGGAAGCTGCAAGTGCTCACTAGCTGCTCAGCACCCCTCAGGATTTGGCCACATATATATATAAAACATACACACTAAAAAAAAGAGTTTCCTTTGAAAAAGCACCACCCCCAACAAATGCAGCATTTAGAGGGCATATTGGTATTTGAATAGCAGTACTGGCCCAAAGCTCCAAAGACCAACCCCCATGTCTGAGTGCAGGCCGAGCTTACATTGCCTGCCTCTTACGACAGTTACATGCTGTCTTCAGCTCACATGGTCTCGTCACTAGAGCTGTGGTTTCAGTGCTTGTATGACATGAGTGGTGGAGCACATTATCCCTAGTGGCTGGAAGGGCGGCAATCATTGAAGAGACGGCTAAGGCAGATCAAGAGATGGGCGTAATAGTTACATTTCAAGCATCCTTCCTTCCTGTGGATTTTTGGCCTTCTGTTGCCACATCCCCAGGATCAGATGGACCCTGTCTTTGGAACTAAGAGAGGGACCCAAGAGTAATAGATCCAGCACCACATCAGCACACAGCATCTTCTCTCCCTCTCCCCTGAGCTTGCTTAGCACAGGTTTAGAAATCCTCCCTTATCCCTTCTGGCAGAAGCTTTGTCCTTGTGTTCTCCAATTGCATTTGGGAGACCTGATCCTTGGAGGACCTTTGCCCCTTCATCCCTGCCCATCAGCAGTTACAGGGGACCAAGGCAGAGGGTATGCCAATATCTTGAGCCCCCTGGATGTTATGAAGGCCATCGTCAAAGAAGATGTGGGGTTGGATCTGGGAGAGGAGAGGGCCCTTGGGAGCCCCGTCCATGAAGAAGGCCTCGTCAATCGCCAGCCCCCATTCTCGGAGGGTCTTGATAGCACGGATGCCCATATCCCGGCCGCTGCGGGCAGTCACCAAGTAGGTGCGAATAGGGGAATTCTCCTGGCTGAACTTCTTGCGCATCTTCCCAAGATGCATGGCAAATGCCTTCAATGGACCCTGGAAACCACACAGAGATTAGAGGTTGGGAGAACACGAGGAGGGGTTAATTTCACCTTTGCACAAAAATAGCCAGAAAAGAGAGCTCAAGGAAGATGGAGCAATTTCTCACAGAGGCTAGGAATGTAGATTCCTTACAGCTGCAGATCTCGGACTTTCCAGGGCCTGGACCACAATTAACTAGAGGGATGGTCTCGTGGACACTTCCCCACCCATCAATCATAAAACATCCCTGTTGCAATGACAGCAATTGCTTACATGGAAACGTGACTTTAGGAAAGCAGTTTATGCTTTGAATAGCATAAACCCGTCATAAACCTGAATAGCATGTACCCATCTTTTAATGCAGCTTAGCAGCTAGAAACAAGAGGGAGCCAACACTGTGCCACCAGTCAGCTCTCCTCCGGCAAGTGGTCGGCAGAGCACCAGTGGTCTGTGAACTGTGCCATAGTGTGAACTGTGTAGTAGCACAGTGGGTTAGTGCTCTAACCCTTCACTTTTGAAGACTTGATGCAAACCCCAAGTAGGTCGGAAATGGAAGTGAATGTTGTGGCCTTATCTCAGTCCTAAGTGAGCAGATGGACACATTCCAAAAGGCAGCCCCACAAAAAGAGGACCAGTTGATTGTGACAAAGGACAGTGAATTTGCTAATAAAGGTTTGCAGACTGGGAAGAGGGTTAGAAATAGAGCAAATATTCACAAGCGGCCTATCTGATTTCAGAGCAGGGCTAGTGTCACAAACCTCATCCACAGGAGAAGAGACCTATGGCCTGTTACAGCATTCACTGAAACCAACGGGGGACTCTCCAATGCCTTCAGTGGGGTGTTGGATCAGGCCAAAGCAGTCAATGTATAAGCCAGAGGCCACCCATGAATGTTTGTGCGTATTCTGCTGCAAGGGGCTATTGGTGAAACCCTAGCAGGAGAGCCCACTCACTGGTCACTGTGGGTGAGTGTAACATAACCAGACTGAGCAGGTTAGAAGCAAGTGTAGGGACTGGGAAGCCCATTAAGGCAGGGCAAGCTAACATACCTCTCCCATGGGCACGGCTTCCATTGCCCTCTCATACTCCAGAGCCCCCGACAGCCCCTTCTCTCGAAAAACCCGGTCTGTCTCATTCGAGAAGAGCACGGCATCCCCATCAAACACCACTCGCAGTTGGGTGCTGGGGGTCTGCACCTCCTGCTGGAAGATGAGAGCCGCCGACACTCCTGTGGGACAGAAAGAAGTGTCACTGCCCGGCTGAGAATGGGAACCAGAGAGACTGTGTCCACGCTCCGGTGAGGGCCCCAGAGTACGAGTCCTGGCTGCCTGGAGATGCTGCTCAGCAGGGCACCCCCATGCGGCAGCCAGTGGAGCCACAGAAAAACTTTATGCTTGCATGCAATGGAGGACAGGTTGGGGAGCAGTCAGCATAGGCATAGCTTCCTCTGGGAAATTGTTACAACCTCATCCAATGCCCACTGACATCCATGGAAAGACTGCCACTGACTTCAATGGGCTTTGGATCAGGCCCTCGCAGCTTCGGGTTCCCCAAGTGAAAAGAGATGATAGATCTCCAAATAGGGCTCATCCGGCAGACCCATTCTGGGGGTGGGAAGGAGAGGCAATGCTCAGATGTCACTGTTTGGAGACACCTCCGTAGGTGCTGTGGGAAGCGTGGTTTGCTGCACCTATGCACCATGTACACCCAGCACTCTCCTGCCTGTGCTTATCCTACCCTGCCAAACCCAGACATGCTCACTTGGTGCAGCTGGTGAAACTGGCTGGCACCTCCACTATATTCTTCTATGCACCTGGCCTAATGCTGGCCCTCTTCCTGCACTGGAGAAAAGGGGTTCTCTGCCCACTCTCACATACTGGGATTATAGCCAGGAAATGGGTTTTAAACCAGGAATGTTACTCAATCAGGCAGCTTTAGGGTTTTACTTCACTGCAAAGAAAAGATTTCTGGTTCAGACATAAGTTGCTTGTGAATTGTGTTGTGTGCCTGAATGAAGGAACCTCGACAGCTGTGCGAGGTCCCAGTCAAACCAGCAATGTTCATGAAAGAGAGACTCTGGCCCTGAAAGTCCTTGGAAAGATTCCTACACCCTGATTGAGGTTAAGCGCATGCTTATGTTCATCCCCATTCAGGAAAGCACTTCAGCATATGCTTAATTTTAAGTGAATCACAGAAAGCAAATTTCCAATTTATAATTATAGTGCTCTGCAAACCTGATTCTAACAGCGACTCATTCAATCTGGAAGCAGGAACAGCTTGAATTTACAATACCGGATGCTCGTAATGACCAACTTGTGGCCGAATTCATAAGCAACAATTATTCACATGAACTATTTGATGTATAATTTAGAATAACGAATACATCTGAGAAAACCCATGGTCTCTTTGTGGGTATCTGGTAAACAGAAAGAGACTAAACTTTTCAGCAACAGATGAATTATGAATTACTTGCCCAGTTGCACCGGAGACCTGCTAGTTCATTTGACATGCACCATCAAACAGTTATGTGTGACTTCTAGACACAGCTAAACTGTTAGGTTCTGAATTGTTTCCAGGCTGAGACGTAATGTGTCAAGATCGGCACAGAACCACTTCTCTGAATCGAGTAATAAACCCTTCTGAAAAAGCAAGTCTTGACATAACTTCATCTTGGGGCTAATGCGGGGAGGCGGTGTAAGGCCCAGGTGTAAGAATGAAATCCCAGGCTGGGTGAGGGAGGAGAGGGAGAAAGCACACCTCGTTGGAGTGCATTGCACACGTCCATCCTGTCGGCCGAGAGGAAGAGCTTGACATTATGGGATTTCAAGTACTGGGTGGAATCTTCATCGCTGACAAAGCAAAACTTGGAAATCTCCAAACCTTAACGTCAGAAAAAGTAAATGAAATCAAATTAATACCTAGCTCTTACACAGCGCTTTTCATACACGGATCTCAATGTGTTTTACAGACGAGGTCAATATCATTATCCCCACTTGATGGGAAAGCCCAGGCACTGAGCAGGGAAATGACTTGCCCAAGATCACCCAGCAAACCTATGGCAGAGCTGAAAAGCTATCTTTAATTTCTATTTCCAGCCTGCCTTGTGCTCCAGCCCACACACTGACATAGCGCTCCCTACATCTCCTGCCATGGCCGACACACCCTAATGCAATGTCCCTTTGTTCAACTGATGTCAGACCCTGCCAGGACAACAGGTGCTCCAGATATCAGTGCAATACCCCCATCCTGCTGCCTTACACTTATGCAGTGACCCTCAGCACAGCCACCATTATCTTTCCTCCCCACCTCAACACAATGTCCCTCACAATGTTAAATCTTCACTCTTTATCTCCTACATTCATGCACCATCGTTCTCAGGTTGCCAGCCATTTCCCGCAACATCCCCTTCACTTCATCCACTTTTTGTGCTACCATCCCACACATAGGCTGGGTCCTTCCCCTTCCATACCACCTGTCCCCAGACTGGTGTGTATCCCCCCTGGATCCACCTCCTCATCTATTTCACAGCAGTCTCTGGAGGACCGGATGAGAAGTTTTCCCCCCATTCACTGAATGTGGGCTGACTTCAAATGAGAGGTGGGATCTCCTTGCCATGTTGCTTAGCACTGTTGACGATGCGCATGCCACTCTCTGGGCTGTTGTTGGAGAGGATGATGACATCAAAGAGGCCCTTCTCCTCTGGGTTTCTCTCCAGGAGTTTCTCATTCACAAACTGCACGGCCTGGATGAAACAGCCGGAGACACGACACTGTTTTACAAAGTTGTATACTCACAAACGTACCCACAATCTGCTGCCACACAATTTCCAGCACTCCTCCCCCCATCCAGGAGACAGAATCGCTCTTGCTGGTGTAGAGAAATGTAGAAGACAGTGGCCCTCTGCACCCAACGGGGAACCACTCAAAGAAGGGCAGACAAAAGCATTGCCATGTACTTTCCCTCAGGAATTCTGTTGTGGGAGGGGACGGCTTTAACTTGCCCTAGGGCATTACAGGAGTCCTGCAGTGGATAGGCTAACATTAGTGTGTCCCCTGATTGTTCCAGCCGTGTCCATGTAGGGCCCCTGGATGCAGAGGGGAGATTGCTGCCTTTCCACCGCCAACAGCCCTGACCCTGGGCTTAAGCCAGAAGAAGCCAAATTTAACAGTGGCCTAATGGTTGTCATAGTTATTTTCTCAGTAATTTGGTTTTGGTACTTTAAGCCTCTGGTTAAACCAAAGTACTCCAGCCCTTCTGGGGTAATGAGAGTCCAACGTTGCTCCCAGTCTCATTCCTTGGATCACAGCCCTCCCTTAAGGGTCTGTTACTCTCCTCTCCTCCCTCGGGTATGACATCAATGCCCCCTGCTCTGCTTCTCCCTCTGACTCAGCGGAGTTCGTGCCCTCTCTCTTCTGCAAGCTCCAACCTTCAGGCCCTCGACAGAGAAGCACCAACTCTGGCCCCGCTTCACTTCCCCTTTCATGCCACTTCCTTCGCTCTGCAACAGGCACCCCCTCGTTGGAGTGATTCACCCCACCCTCTGGCTGTCTTCTCTTGGGCTTCTTCCCAGGCCCTTTGACCAGAGAAACCTGGAGCTCTTGCCCTTTTCCTAGTGTCTCTCTCTTTCTCCTAGTGGGGAGATGAACAGCAAGTCTTATTCTCTCCCCAGTATCTCTCACACTGATGAAAAGGGACCTCCTGCTATCCTTGCCCCTTTCCCAGCATGTATTGCGGCGTGGCCTACAGCTCCCCTCAGCCATGGGAATGATAGCTCCCCAGATCCCTTATTCTGGGTCACATCCTTTTCTGTCAACATATGTTTGGCCTGAATTTAGCCTATTTTGTCTATTATACGTAGTCTATTATAGATACACTAAATATATATAATTCAACTTGCCTACCCACTTTCAGATGTCACCAACCTCTGCTGGTGTCATCTTCCTTCCAAATTGCTGCTGTTATGTCCTTGCTCAAGAAGTCACTTCATGGTGCTGATGTTGCTCTGTCTCTAACCTTCCCTCTTTCTAAGGTAAGGTTTCTAGGATGGTTGTGGTGAGGAAACTAGTGTCATTTGGAGTCCATAGTTTTCCTTGATTCCTTGCAGTTTGTCTGCCATCCTGGGTATGGCAGTAAGGCTGGTATTTATGCTTTAAACACGAAATAATTTTTAAAAATACCATAGTGATGTGGCGCTATCCAAGTTGGCCACCGTCAGTTTTGGAATGGTGCCTGATGGTTTATGTGTCCGCAATGTATCCCTCCACAAAACAGAACAACACACAACTCACGTGTATATTTCATTGTTCCAAATGAGGGCCAAGAGTCACACTCCTATGCATGTCTGAGGAAGGCACCTCAGCAAAGATAACACCTTATACTGATAAGAGCTAAGGCTGGAAGCATCTTGACCTCACAAGAGCCGAGATCTCACCTGGCTACGGGCAAAGGCCCAGAACTTCAAAGGTATTTAGGTGTCTAAAACTCTCACTGATTTTAATGGGAGGTGGGCACCTAAATACCTTTGAGAATCTGGGCCGAAGCATCTCACCTGGATGAAAGCAGAGGCCATACCTCACCATGAGTCAGGCACCACTCTTTGCCTTCGTCAGGGAGAGATGCCCCAGCCAAAGAGCACAAGGCTTGAAGGAACTGAAGGCTGAACTTTGCCATGGACTAAGTTTCACACACATCTTGATGAGAGTGGGGGCCATTGCTGGCGTCTCACCTGAATGAAAGCGAAGGCTGTACCTTGCTCCAAGGGCTTATCCTCATTGAGTTGCTGATACTTCACATACTCTTCCTTGCCCTTTGTCAGGAACAGCTGATGTTCCTCCTCCAGGTTGAAGATGGCCCTGGTTGTCACGGCGATGACCAGCGCCTCATTTGGGTCTTTCTGCGGTGGGCAGTGGGAGATCCAAAAAGAAGAGAGGGGTGGATTTAAAGAAAGAGATGGCAATGATCAATCAGGAGAGGGTGCTGCAAAGGAGCAGTGGGAGCTGCAGGCTCTGACAACATCTCCCACACACTTCCTGGGATCCTAAATACAACCACCTGGGTGAGCCTTGCAATTGCCCACACCCCCCACCACAGGCAGCCAATCTCTGCAGAAGTGGGGCCGTTCAGTGCCAAGACTTGAGCAGGCACAGTGACTGACCACTTCCGTCCAGCCTATCTTTAAAGCACCACCAGTGTCACAGTGGTGCTACAAACCTTCCCTCACCTGTGGGTGTTGTCTGCGAGCTGGTGGGTGGACACTGATAGCGCACTTCCCCAGTTAGTGGAGTCCCCCATTCAGAACCTAGGTAGTGTGTTTAAATCTTACACATTACAGCAGCTGGGACAAAGTTTGTTTCAGGTGGAAGTTACTGGATGAACGGAGCTGTACACTGGGGTCAGACCAGACAGGAATAGATGTGGGATAGGACACCTATTCTACCAACAGCTCACTTGTTACATATATTCGTTGACCAGGATGAATTAAGGCATGACACCTGAGATTCAAACCGCACCATGGCAGCTGTGAGCTTTGGATAGCATGACACACACTTGATTGTTGTTGGCCCTGCTTAATCCAGGGAAGAGAGGGACCTAGGGAGAGAGATGCACCCTGGGTCTATGATGTTCATTCTCAACCCCTCAGGTCACAAAAGATAGGGCAGGCAAAGGTTGGCGGTCACGGCCCTTCCAACTTGGCAGCATGCATGGCGTATACTGTTGTCTGTCTGCGACAGTTTTGGGCAGCTGCTCCATAATTTTGGCTGATCTGGACACAGTATAGCCTCATTCCACTACCTGTGCAGAGCTGTAAATTCCAACAGAGGTGACACCATCCACGGTTTCCTGCCAACACAGATTAGCTTCACTGAACTTCACCAGCCCCACCTCCCTTCACAGGCATTTTTCACCCCAGTTTGTCACCACTCTTGCAAGAATAATAAAAAGTCAATAATGTTCTTCATGGATGCTACCACTTGTGAATTTTCATTTCAGCCACTGCAAAGGCAGGCTTTTCCAAACGAATCAGTCTCACCGTCTCTTTATATAACCGGTGGTTCAATCCTGTGATGTTTCCCTACACAGTGCTCCTATAACTTCATTGGGAGCTGCAGCTGCTCAGTAGTTCTGAAAACCAAGCTGCTTTTATCTAAGTGCCTGAAAATAGGGATTCTTTAGTTCCCCTGGCATGAACATTTTAGCTCCAAAATTGAAATCAGAAGTAGATTTCAGGAGTTCCTAGCTCCCAGTACTGTGCTCAGATCCCTAGATCTTGTTTCTCTTTGTTGGTGGATTTTGGAATGTAAGCAGAGTCAGGATGAGCTCTACCCTGCCATCTGGTGGTGAATTATGGCGAGTGTGGAAAAGAACTCCAGGGGCTGATCTTGTTTGCATAGGCACACCCACCCGCCTGGCATGAGACAACAGCAACTGAAAGTGGTTACTTTGGATGGGGTGGGATCCCCAGTTTCTCTGTTATTGGGGCAGGAGGAATAAAGTGTTGTTACCCTGATTATGTGAATCAAGGATAATGAAACTGTTTTATGACAGAGGGTCTCACCATCACCTAAGTAGCACTCGCTAGACAAGGGACATGGGTTCTAACCCCCCCAGTGAATGGAGAGAGGATAGGGACAGATATTTGTACCTGATAGTACGGGTGCCTTTGAGGGCCTGAAACACCAATTGCACCACTGCCTCTCTCCACTGTTGAATATCAGAGCTAACTTTGATTCCATTAGGAGTCTAGTTACAGGCTTCTAAGCTGAATTCACTTTGGGCCAATGGTGCACCAGGACTGGGGCTCCCCTACTACAAGCTGAAATCACTAAAGAGCTAAAGTTACTAAGAGCGGAGATCACCGAGTGCTGTGTTAACTAGTGGGGGAGCCTAAAGCTATATTGCTAAGCGGCTGGCGGAGCAGTTTGCGGGGATGGCTGGAGGAGCAGTGAGTGGCGCGGAGCTGTTTGTGGGGACGGCTGGAGCGGCCCAAGGAATGGCGAGCGGAGCCGTTTGTGGGGACGGCTGGAGTGGCTCACAGGTCGGTGAGTGGTGCCGTTTGCGGGGACGGCTGGAGCGGCTCACAGGCTGGTGAGCGGAGCGGAGCAGCTCATAGAGCATAGCAGTTCGTGAGATGGCAGGAAGTGGATTGGCTCGTGGTGAAGGCTGTGGCGGAACCCCACGGAGAGGCGGCCGGTCGGCCTCAGATCACGTAAGGTGCCCCTTAACACCCTGTGTGCCCCCCTTTTACTCTGGGGCTGCACTGATCAGGGACAGAGACTTTGGGGGTGTTGGACTTTGGGGACTCTGGGTGATTTTTGGGTTGCTGGATTCAAGAACCAAAGGGAAAGGACACGGCCCAATTTGCTGGGGTGGGTCTTTTGCTCATGGTTTGTGTTATGAATCCTGTTTGTGGTGTTTTTTCCAATTTAATGCTGATGTCATTTACCTCATGTTATTAAACATTTTCTGATACACTGAGACTCCGTGCTTGCGAGAGGGGAAGTATTGCCTCTTAGAGGTGCCCAGGGGGTGGTATGTAATTGTCCCAGGTCACTGGGTGGGGGCTCGAGCCGGTTTTGCATTGCGTTATTGAAACGGAACCCCTAGATACAGAATCCGGCCCTTGTTGCTGCCAACTTAGATGGGCAGAAGGGTTAGAGGAATATCACACTGAACATAAACGCTTGAACTATGAAATACAAAGTGGTCTAAAAAATAACTTCTTACCTGTTTCACATTGGTGTTTATAACTGTGCTTTCAGCCTCTGCCATCTTCTATCTCCGACCTCAAACAACAGAAAATAAATTATTAAACTTTGACTACTATGTTAGATCAAATTCAGACTCAGGAGATGTTTTAATCTTTTCAAATTTTAATCAACAAGTGGCATGGCAGTAGAGGCCGCGTGGGGAGAGGAGCGGGCAGGGTCGTCTCCCACCCTCCAGATTTGCTGCTTGGCTTGTACTGGGCATGCTCACATGGACTGAGCATGATCAGTCACATTGCGGAAGCCACTGCCCTCACTCTGCCCTCCCCCACTATCGGCAGGCATGGGTCACCTACAAAAGAATAAATGTCTGATCTAACCATTTCAATCTAATCTGATCATTACCAAATTCATCCACATTGCCTCCTATTCAGCCAATGCCAGATCTGATACTTATGAAGGGTTGGTTAGCTTCAGAAATCCAGTAATTAGCACTAGAATAGAACTAGTCACTAAAAATAGTCAAACAACAGAAGTTGTGATAAAAATAAAAAATGGACCCTTTGCATTTCAGGCCTCTGTGCATAGTGTTTTTAGGGCTAAGCCTTTATATTCTGAGATAGACTGGGATGGAGGCACTGGAAAGGGATTTAGGAGATCTGAGTTCCGTTCCTGGCTCTGCTACAAAGTCCAGGTGTGACCCTGAGGAAGTCCCTTAAATCTTCTTCTACCTCAGTTGCCATCTGTAAAATGGGGATAATAGTTCTCTAACTGACAGGGGCATGTTGGGAGACTAGACTAGACTAAATGCATTGAACAGCTAAGAGACAAATTCTGCTTTGATTAATACTCCTTGCAATCTCCACTGGTATAAATCAGGACAAAAATTGAACCAAAGGTTCTGGTTCCCTGGATCTTTCTGCCTCTTTCTCAGTAAGAGGAAGGTGCTGGTGCAGTAGGCATGGAGGGTGTCCATAGATCTGTGGAAATGAATTAAGCTTGTTAATCTGTTACTTTCCTAAATTGAAAGTCTTTTTTTTTTTTTTTTATTTACCATGCAAATCTATATCAGACATCGGGGTAAGTCTGTATTAGAACACATCCATTTACTGAACCAGTACAGAACACAGACAGTAAAAACATGGAGTGAAATCATAGATCTACGTAAGTTGGTAAAACTCCCATTGGCTTCAATGGACCAGTCTTTCAACCATGGATCTTATCTAGGGCTGGTTGAATACTTTACAACGAAACTATTTTTTGATGCAAAATTGGGTTTTCGACTGGAGACTTTTTTGAAGAAGCATGTGCTTTCTGAAGATAATTTCAATTTTTCATCAAAAAATAAACACCTGAAAACTGAAAAAATTTCACTATTCAGCCAAAACCCAAAATACTTCAACTGAAAACCAAAATATTTTGATTCTAAAATGCCATTTTGGTGCCTCATGGGAGTTGTAGTTTGGGTGCCTCATACTCTCATTCTCCTCCATGGGCTAGGCTGCCTACCTGGACTTGATCTCCCATGATGCACTGTTTGCTGTAATCAACCATAAAATATTCAGCACTTTCATTACTAAAAAGTAACCTTGTTATGATTTCACCAGGCAAACATGTTTCACTGCAAGAGTTTCATTTTATAGGTCTCCTGCCAAAGCTAAGAGTACTGCAACAGAATAGAGTTGTCCAAAAAACAGTTTGCATCCAATTCATTAAACAGGGTTGTTATTATTATCGTTGGTATTTGTTATTTGTGTTACTGTAGCACCAAGGAACCCAGGCAAGGGCAAGGGCACCAATGACTGGAGGACAGCTAATGTGACGCCAATTTTTAAAAAGGGCTCCAGAGGTGATCCCGGCAATTACAGGCCAGTAAGCCTGACTTCAGTACTGGGCAAACTGGTTGAAACTACAATATAGCAAAGAACAAAATTGTTAGACACCTAGATGAGCATAATTTTGTTGGGGAAGAGTCAACATGGTCTTTGTAAAGGGAAATCATGCCTCCCCAATCTATTAGAATTCTTTGAGGGGGTCAACAAGCATGTGGACAAGGGGGATCCAGTGGATATTGTGTACTTAGATTTTCAGAAAGCCTTTGAAAGGGTCCCTCATCAAAGGGGCTTAACATAAGAATGGCCCTACTGGGTCAGACCAAGGGTCCATCTAGCCCAGTATCCTGTCTTCCAACAGTGGCCCGTGCCAGGTGCCCCAGAGGGAATGAACAGAACAGGTAATCATCAAGTGATCCATCCCTGTCACTCATTCTCAGCTTCTGGGAAACAGAGGCTAGGAACACCATTCCTGCCCATCCTGGCTAATAGCCATTGGTTGACTTATCCTCCATGAATTTATCTAGTTCTTTTTTAAACTCTGTTATGGTCTTGGACTTCACAACATCCTCTGGCAAGGAGTTCCACAGGTTGACTGTGCGTTGTGTGAAGAAATACTTCCATTTGTTTGTTTTAAACCTGCTGCCTATTAATTTCATTTGGTGACCCCTAGTTCTTGTGTTATTAGAATTAGTAAACAACACTATCTTATCTACTTTCTCTACACCAGTCAGGATTTTATAGATCTCAATCATATCTCCCCTTAGCTGTCTTTTTTCCAAGCTGAAAAGTCCCAGTCTGATTAATCTCTCCTCATATGGAAGCTGTTCCATACCCCTAATCATTTTTGTTGCCCTTTTCTGAACCTTTTCCAATTCCAATATATCTTTTTTTGAGATGGGGCGACCACATCTGCACACAGTATTTAAGATGTGGGCATACCCATGGATTTATATAGAGGCAACATGATATTTTCTGTCCTATTATCTATCCCTTTCTTAATTATTCCCAGCATTCTGTTCGTTTTTTTGACTGCCTCTGCACATTGAGTGGATGTTTTCAGAGATGACTCCAAGATCTCTTTCTTGAGTGGTAACAGCTAATTTAGACCGCATCCTTTTATATGTATAGTTGGGATTGTGCTTTCCAATGTGCATTACTTTGCATTTATCAACATTAAATTTCATCTGCCATTTTGTTGTCCAGTCACCCAGTTTTGAGAGATCCCTTTGTAGCTCTTCGCAGTCTGCCGGGGTCTTAACTATCTTTAGTAATTTTGTATCATCTGCAAATTGCTTAAGCAAAGTAAGCTGTCATGGGATAAGAGGGAAGGTCCTCTCATGGATTGGTAACTGGTTAAAATATAGGAAAGAAAGGGTAGGAATAAATGTTTAGTTTTCAGAATGGAGAGAGGTAAATAGTGGTGTCTCCCAGAGGCCTGTACTGAGACCAGTACTATTCAACATATTCATAAATGATCTGGAAAAAGGGGTAAACAGTGAGGTGGCAAAGTTTGCAGATGATACAAAACTACTCAATATAGCTAAGTCCCAGGCAGACTGCAAAGAGCTACAAAAGAATCTCTCAAAACTGGGTGACTGGGTAACAAAATGGCAGATGAAATTCAATGTTGATAAAAGCAAAGTAATGCACATTGGAAAACATAATCCCAACTATACATAGAAAATAATGATGTCTAAATTGGCTGTTCTTGTTTTTTTGTAGGTATCAAAGCAGAGGGAGATTTTAAGGGGCAAATGTGGTGGATTCGTTAATTTGGATGGTTGCCATGCATACACAGCTAGTTACATGGTGTCTCTAGACTGCAGAGGTTTAGATCGTGGCATATTTTTGGGATTTCAATTATTTTTGGGATTTCAATTTAGTGGTCTGTACAACCCAAGTGGTTTGTGGGTTGTTGTTATATATGCCTGCTTGTAAATAACCACAACTCAGTGCTTGAGCTCCACCCTAGCTGTGCATATTCCTCTATAACTCCCTCTGGTGAGTCAGAGAAAATAACTCGCCAGGTATGAGGTACATTTAGGTCTACAATCAATGGTGGTCCAGGAGAAAGTCTCTAGCTCAGTGGCTCTCAACCTTTTCAGACTACTGTACCCTTTTCAAGACTTAGACTTGTCTTGTGTACCCAGTGGCGCTGCAACATTTTTATTAGTGGGAGTGCTGAAAGCCAGACCCCTTACCCCTGTCCAGCCAACAGAGCTGAGACTGGGAGTAAAGCCCCGTGCATGGGGTGGCAACTGGGATCCCGGGCCCAGGGCCGGCAACCTGGATCCCAGGCGCGGGGTGGCAGCAGAGACTTGGGCACACGGGGCGACAGCCAGGACCCCGGGCGTCGGGTGGCAGCCGGGCCCCTGGGCGCAGGGCTGGCAGCAGAGCCATGGGTGCACAGGGCGTCAGCCAGGACCCCGGGTGTGCGGGGCCAGCAGCCGAGATCCCGGGCGTGAGAGGCAGCAGACGGGACCCTATGTGCGGGGCTGGCAGCTGGGAGCCCGGGGGGGCTGCAGCACACCCTGCACCTCTAGTTCCTGCGCCTATGTGTGTACTCCCAAGTTTCTTCTCACTTAAAAATTCACAAAATCAGACATAAAAACACAAAAGTGTCACAGCACACTACTACTGAAAAATTGCTGACTTTCTCATTTTTACCACAGAATTATAAAATAAATCAATTAGAATATAAATATTGTACTTACATTTCAGTGTACAGTATACAGAGCAGTATAAACAAATCATTGTCTATGAAATTTTAGTTTGCACTGACTTCGCTAGTGCTTTTTATGTAGCCTGTAGTAAAACTAGGCAAATATCTAGATGGGTTGATGTACCCTCTGGAAGACCTCTGCGTACCCCCATGGGTACATGTACCCATCCTTGAGAACCACTGCTCTAGCTTAACCAGAACGGTACATTCTCTCAGGTACTGCGGATGCTGGAGGGTGCACATAACCCATTGGGTTGGCTCTCATGTTGATCATGAATTGTGTGTCTGAGTACCACTGTCCTCTAATAGATGGGATACAGCAGACCAGCATAGGGATATATCAAATAGCTCCAGCTCTCACAGCTCTTGGAGGAGAAACCTGGGCTGAAGCCAAAGGCGGTGAATCCTATTCTCTATGCCGCATGTAAACTAGGGTGCCAGATGTTCCAATTTTATAGGGACAGTCCCGATATTTGGGGCTTTTTCTTATATAGGCTCCTATTACCTCTCACTCCCTGTTCAGATTTTGCACACTTGCTGTCTGGTCACCCTAATGTAAACAGCCACTGAAACCCAGTGTTTTATGTGAACACCATGGATTGGTACAAGGCACATAGGCAAGAGCTGCCATTTTTGATGTTACAATAGCATGGGAGGCTGCTGAATGCTGGAGGGAGATGCCCATGAGAAGTTGGATTTGTCCGTGCGCACACATGCATTTGCTGGGGAATTAAATCAACCCTCCCATTATAATGTAGAAGGAATATTGTTATAAACATGTAGCAGCAAGAGAGGTTTCCCACCACAGAGCTTCACCCAAGCAGGCAACTTGGGTCTAACCACATCAGCTGAAATGGAAAGAGAAATGAACCAGAAGAAACAGATCCATGTTTCCCTTCCAGCAGCTGAACTGAAGCAACAGTAGGGCCCTTTAGGCCAAGTCTACACTTAAAAATTAGATTGACCTAACTACATAGCTCAGGGCTGTGAAAAATATTGTGCTCTGTACAACATAGTTAGGTCGACCTACCCCTCATTGTAGACACAGCTAGGTCAATGTAAAATCCTTTCCATCAATGTTGGAAGTGTCTATATCACCGTGACACAGCTGCAGCACCCTAGCTGTGCCACTGTAACGGCTGCAGTGTAGGCATACCCTTAGCGTCTGTGATGTTTCTTTGTTCTTGCAAGTGATGCTGGACTTTGCCTCTGCCCCCCTACCATCCTTGGTCTGATTGTTCTCCTGCATAAAACCAAGTTTGCTTAATTTCCATGTTCCTGTCCTACTACACACACACAGGGGCATTGGAACAATTTTTATAGCAGGGGTGGTGAAAGACATTGAACAAAGCTGTAAACCCCCTCCCTGTATATGATGGAAACCACTTCAAGCCACAGCCCCAGCACCCCAAGTTCCAGCACCCCTGCACACACACACAAACACACACACACACACACACACACAGACCAGCTTGAAAACTAATTCACTCTTACTTGGGAAAAAGCATCTTTCTTACAGACTGCCCTCAGGACAACATACAAGAGCTGTCTATAGACACATACAAGCCAAACTCACTGTGTGTGCTTCCTCCACTCTCCAGTGCAGCTTGTCACAGCAGTGGCAGCAGCATCCAATTTTTAAAAAAAGATACTGCCTCACTTTTTATATTTCCCATCCCCTGGCAGGAAGCAGAAAAGAATGTGGCAGTGCCCATGCTCAGAGAAGCCACGCAGCATATTGGGATTCGTAGTCATCTCTGCAGCCAGGCATCCTCTCTGCAATGCAAACAGGAAGGGTTAGACTTCATTTCCCAGCCTGCGCAGCATGGCAGGCTGCCAGGTTGTGGGGAGAGGTTTTAGTCTTTAGGGTGGATCCCAGGACACTCCTCTGGTAATTACAGGTTCTGGGCGCAGGCAGCTACTAACGAAAAGGCAGTGATAATCTCAGAATCAGAGTGCAACAGGGCTGCTCTGTTACTGTTCAGTGGTATGTTTGGTCATTCCTGCAATTCCTTCTGTTTTTAGATTCAGAGCTATTTGTAACTCACTCTCAGCTCTTTCATTTCATGGCCCTTGAAAATGGACCTGTCATAATTTAGACCAATAAATACACACATATATATACACACACCTACCCAAGAATACAAGTAATTTACTATATATATATATATCTATACACACACACACACACACACAGAGAGAAACGGTGAGTTTGTTGATTACTCAGGCAAAGGGGCTAACACAGAATATGACTAGGATGCCAAGAAAAATTGTCTGTTCATTACGTGAAGATTTTAACATTTCCCACGATTATTTTTAATGTTTTAAAAAGGGGATAAAAACACTCTTCCTACCACCCCTGCTGTTGGAGGTTTAAACCTCCTGTCCAGCAAAGCATGTGTTGAAGCATCTTGAAGTCAATGGGGTCTACCCACGTGCTTAAAGTTAAGCAGATGTTTGAGTGCTTTGCTAGATCAAGGCCCAGGTGCCATAATTAGTGCTAAGTATCATTATTGACTCTTTTTCTGAAATGTATACAAGAACTAGACTCCAGTTGATGCATTGTTCTGTTACTCTGAGGTAGCTAATCTCTTCAGCTGACCTGCTAAAAGAGTCTATTTGAGTTTTTAAAACATTTTCCTTTTGAAAAATAAAGTAAAAGCCTTTTATCCTGCCATGCCATTGGCATGACACACGGTGTTCTCTGCTGCACAGAAGCAGACCAGCTCTGTGTCCCAGGATATTGCAGATCAGACTCCGATGCACAGATGGCCTTGAGAAAGCTGGCAGCTATGCGGAAGTGCTTATGTCTTCATCAGAGGGTGGAGCAGATAAAACAATTGGGTGAAATTGCCTTCCTGTGTCAGTAGGTTTTTTAACCCTTTTGTTTCAGGCTGTCTGACTGGGCTGTTTTCAGGCAGTACACAGCTGTGTAACAGGGCCGCCCAGAGGATTCAGGGGGCCTGGGGCAAAGCAATTTCGGGGGCCCCTTCCATAAAAAAAAGTTGCAATACTATAGAATACTATATTCTCGTGGGGGCCCCTGCGGGGCCCGGGGCAAATTGCCCCACTTGCCCCCCCTCTGGGCCGCCCTGCTGTGTAAAGACATACGCTCGGGTTTCAGGCTCACATATAAATTTTGATTCTTTCATTGAATAGCCCTTTCTCAGTTTCTATTATTACTTGCATCTGTGTCTGTTTCAGGGGCCACCTCCTCCTCTGAAATCAGCATAACTCCAGGGCAACCAATGAAGCTGTGCCTATGTACATCGGCTGGGACTCTGGCTCTGCATGTCATGTGTGAACCACTTGGGCATATGTTTATTAGCCACCGTTTTTGAGTTCATAGCATCTTTCATTATTGTTTTTATGAATAGCTCCCCCCTTCACTGGAGGAATCCTCAGGTTCTACCTTTAGCTCACCAAGCACCCTGAAAAGGGGTTGGTTTTATTACAGTTTCCATGTCCAAATGCTGGGCGTGTTCTATACTCCTGCCAGCTCCCACATCACTGTGACATCACTCTTTGTTTGGCATGTTGAATCCTTTGCCATGTTATTTTTTGTAAGCTCTTATGCACTTCCACAGGGCGGTTAATTGTGTGGTGAAGGGGTGAGGCTATGATAGAGGAGATCTGAGTTCAATACTTGGCTCTGCTACAAGCTTCCTGTGTCACTTCAGGTGAGTCATTTGATCGTCCTCTACCTCAGTTCCCCATCTGTAAAATGGGGAGAGTGGTAACATTTCCCTACCTCATGGGGGCAGGAGCATTCAGTCGTTTGTGTTGTGCTCAGAGGTAGGTCTATAGTTAGAATGTTTACACAGTCACATGCTATGTTTGTCTATACATCTGTTTGTTCTGGTTCTTGGTTTATGAATATTGCCTTTTCACACGTCATGTCCACCCCCTTAAGTAGCCCTTCATTGCTGCACCCTAAAGCTAGTTGACCGATACTGAGACAGTCTTCTAATATGCCAGATTCAAATACTGTGGGCCTGATGCTCCTTTCCTGAATCCCTGTGTTTGGAGTAAAGAAGGGCAGGGGTAAAGAAGATTTTAAAGCTGCCTTTGTGCTCCTCATATTCTGGGACTGTGCAGGGGCCTGCCTGTTTCCCTGTATCAGTTACGGAAGCCTCAGGGCTGCTCTAAGTTAGACTTTGTGTTGCATCCCATAGCCCTAAATTCAGTGCATTCTGATCACACCCCCACTCCACCCCCTGCACCAGGGGCTGGGAGCAGGACCAGAGTTGAGTCCTTATGCAAGTCCCAGGAGAGGCCCTTTGCACAGAGGTATTCTCAGGGGGCCATTTCTGCAACTTTTAAGACCCCTTTAAGCTGCCAGAGTGGCATAAAGGGGCTTTAGTGTTATGGAGAATCAGGCTCTGGTTCTTTATCTTTAAGTCTCCTCTGCTTTCTGCTCCCCATTTTGCTCCTTAAGCAAAAAATACGTCTTTAATTGGTACGATTTTTTGCCAGGGTACAATGATCTTTGAACTTATTGGTTACTTCTTCAGAGCTTTCTTCCCCTTAATCATACTCGGTATGAAATGCACTGTATAGCTGCAGTGCTAGTGTTATTGCACCATCAATAACTGGGCTTTGCTTTTTTTCCATTTGACTCACTCCATGGCCCTTGTATGCAGCTCAGATTGCTTTCTGAGCCTTTCCTCAGATCTCCCTTAGCATTCTCCAGGAGTTTTAGGGCAAGTGGAAGATTTACGTGTCACAGTCACATAGCGTGTACTGCAGCTGTTTTTATTGTGCCTGTCTCCTGTTGGAGTCAGCATCCCTTTCACCAGAGATTTGCAGTCAGGTCGGGTTTTCCAGCACTCCATTTTTTCCAAATCTAGTCCCATGTAATATTTCAGTGATGACACAGGTAGGTTTTAGGGTAATTTATTACAGCACCAGCAGTAGTGTGTTAATCTAGCCTGGCTGTATTCTCTGTCTCATGCTCTGAAGCTAGTTCACATCTCTGTGTGTGGATGGGCAGTAGTGTGGCATTGCACAGCCTGTCCTGCAGCACATGAGGCGATTTTACACTTCCTTCTGAAGCTTACCTCTTTATAGCACAGGTGTCAGTAGAGAGAGGGGATAGCGCCCTGCCGCAGCACACCCTTTTGTGATAATGGAATTGTTTGGTGGGGAAGGGATAAGAGGAAGTTGTGTTAATACGAGGGTGTGTCATGCCAAGCCAGAGTTGAGATGTTAATGAAAACCTTGTTCACTGTAACAACATTAAATAGTTAAATGTGGCTTCTCTGTCAAGAGCTGAGTGAACAACTGATTTTTCAGTTCTGGGACTGGACCGAAAAATATGAAAAAAGAATTTGGGTAGTTTTGAACTGAAACTGATTTTTTTTTCTCACCAAAATGAAACAAACAAACAAACAAACAATCATTAAAGACTGAAAACCATCTGAAATGAAACATTGGAATGAAATGAGATTTTGGGGGGGTGTTGTTTTGTTTACATTTCAGGTGTTTTTCACACTTTGTAAAAAAATATCTAGCTAAAGTTTGAAATTAAACGTCATTTCAAAACGAAAACTTGAAATGTTACATTTTGAAATGTTTGAAACCAACTGGACTTTTTATGAAAAAAAAATTTTTTTTGGCAGCAGCTATTTACTGAATTTGACCTTCATTCGCGAATAGTTTTGATGCCCCCCAAAATGCATTTTGTGGAAAATTTATTCGCTGAAACTAATTCTTCCAGCTCTAGTTATCACTGGCTTACTCCTGTTGTAACAATCACCATTCAAATCATTTTAACCTTTTATTAAAGAGACAGAAAAAGAGAGAAAAACAGTTAAACCATTTAAAATATTAAGTGTTAAAACAGGCTTTCATTGTAACAATATTCTTTGTTCCCATTCCCTTTATCTGTCTCTCTCACCAACGGAAGTTGGTCCAATAAAAAATATTACTTCACCCACCTTGTCGCTCTATATAGGGGAAAGTCTTGTCTGACACTTTCCGATGGCATTAAAGATGGCATTCACTCTCCTTCTTTGGGCGAGGGGAAAGAGAAAAAGTTAGTTTAGATGGTCTCAAACTGCATGTGGTATACTTGTTGCTGTCTGATCCTGTTTTCTTTCAGGAAAAACAAACACAAAAGACAAGAGAAAATGCAGCTTCTGTCTCGGGTGCTGATGTTACCTTGCAGCTTCCCAGTTGGGGCAACACAAGCCCAGCACACTCTGATCAGCCACTCCTAGACCTAGCTAACTCGTACCAGCGTTGGGCTGTTGAAGGTGGTGTTTTTAGCTACCTGTCCGGTCACTGGATCACAGCAGTGTCAGAGGAGGCAGGTTTGTATAATTTTTGGTGGTGCCCAGAACGGGTCGAAGTCCCGCCCCTCTACCCCCCACCTGCCTTGTAAGCTGATATATGTTTTTTAAAATAATGTAAAAATGGACTGGAAACAGTAAGAGTTTAACAGTTTCCCTATATTGCACAATTTGGGTGGTGGGGGGGTGAGGGCTGTGGCTGGGGGGTGCTGGCTCTGGGGTGGGGTTGGGGATGAGGGGTTTGGGATGTGGGAGGGGGCTCAGGGCTAGGCCAGAGGGTTGGCGTGCGGGGGGGGTGAGGGCTGCGGGGTGGAGCTGGGGATGAGGGGTTCCTGGTGCAGGAGGGGGCTCAGGGCTGGGGGGGTGAGGGCTCTGGCTGGGGGTGCAGGCTCTGAGGTGGAGC